GCTACAGCACTCAACCCAAGGTTTAAGAATCTGAAGTGCCTTCCAAAAATGTGATTAGCATGGGCTGTGAAGCATACTATCAGAAGTCTCAAAAGAGCAACACTCTGATGTGGAAACTACAGAACCCGAAACACCAAAAAAAGAAAATCAACCTTCTGCTGGTGGCTCAGATGATGAAAGTGAACATGAGTTAGTCTGCACTGCTTTGGATTGTTATTGAGCAGAACCCATCAGCATGGGCACATGTCCTCTGGAATGGTGGCTGAAGCATAAAGAGATATATGGCACATAAATATGTGCACCTGGCACATAAATATCTTGCAACACTGGTTACAACAGTGCATGCGAATGCCTGTTCTCACTTTCAGGTGACATTGTAAATAAGAAGCCGGCAGCATTATCTCCTGCAAATGTAAACAAACTTGTTTGAGTGACTGGCTGAACAAAAAGTAGGACTGAATGGGTTTGTAGGCTCTAAAATTTTACATTGTTTTGGTTTTGACTGCAGTTATTTTTTGTACATAAGTTCAACTTTAATGATAAAGAGATTGCATTACAATACTTGTATGAGGTGAATTGAAAAATACTATTTCTTTTGTTTTTTACAGCACAAATATTTGTAATAAAAATACAAAGTGAGAACTGCACACTTTGTATTCTGTGTTGTAATTGAAATCAATATATTTGAAAATATAGAAAACACCCAAAAATATTTAAATAAAATGATATTCTATTGTTTAACAGTACTTACTTTTTTTAATTGCTTGACAGTACCACTATAAATGTTATCTTCAAAGAAGAAATGTTTCCTACACCCAAAAAAATTCTTGTTTTCCTTTAATATCTTCTAAATATCAGCTTCTTATAGTCTCTTCTTTGTTATCCCAACTTTTTTTCTTCTTTTGTTTTGGTGTTTCAATCCTTCTGTTGCTAAAATGATAAAAAAGCTGCTTCTACAAACCTATGTTTTGAACTAACTTTTATAAAATGGATTAACCAGAGCCCTAACTAGGCATTTTAGCACCCAGGGTGAGCAAGCATATTTGTGCCCCCTAGGGGCAACATGTGGGAGGGACCCGTAGGGTCATGTTGTTACCCTAAAATTTAGATGCTAATTGAATTACCTACAAATTTGTTAAAATTAGACAAAAGGGTAAACAAGGTTGTGGCCTATTCTAAAGGAATTGCCAGAGTGTTACCAGGGGGCTTGTCTCTGACCTGCAGAGGGCTCTCCAGAGCAAGCTAGTCTTGCTAACACCTGAAAGGACATGGGTACAGCCTTCCAAACAAGAATGAACACACAAGCAGTAATTCTTCAAAAACAAAAGAATACTTTATTTAAAGAAATAAATTACTGTGTATTTAGGAAAGCAAGAAAGAAGGTATAAAGAACAGAGTAAAATGCAACAGAATTACAACTGAAATAATTTAAGCGGGGCAGCAAAATCCAAGACACAGACTACAAAGGATATCTAACACATGCAGGAAATACAATCCTTTCAATGTAACAAGCCTATAGAGGTCCCATACACCCAGAGGCCTTTAGTCTTAATGTTACAGTTTAACCCTATATTTAATACAATGTGATATATACAGGCCTCTTATAGACACCCATGAGAAAACTAACACTATATTCACAGATTAAAACACTTGTTTATATTCAACATCCTGTAAGCACTGGCCAGGCAGTTACAAGATGGGTAGGAGAGATCTCATTCAAGACACAGGCATCCAGCTTTATTTACAGGCAAAACCCATACACTCTTAAATAGTAGATAAAAAAAGAGATCAGACTTACACTCTTCCTTCAAGTTTCCCTCTGCTTTGTCACAGGGTCCTTCTGCTCTGTCTGAAATCTTTAGGAAGCACAGTTTCTTCAGTTGTGCTACTGCCCCACGGTGGTGGCAGCGGCAATTGCTGGTGGTGGGGCGGCTGCTGGAAGGCATATCTCCATTGCCAAGGCAACCTCAGGGTTCTTTTGCTGCTACTTCTTCTTGAAGGTGGCTAATTTTCAGATAGCTTCTTCTTTGCGGATGTTTTGCAGCTTCTGCTCTTCTCCAGATCCCAAACCCACTATAAGTTCAGCCTGCTAGCTGTTGGCCTTATATACTGGTTGTGCTCTCAAGGTCATCTCATAAACATAATTTATTAGCCTAACTCAGCCAATCAGCTTCTAGGTATTAGCATATTTCCTCTTCCTGTCTAGATCCTCCCCTTTTATTAGCATGATGTCACGTAATTAGCATGCTGTCAATATAGGAGTGCTCCTCCCCTCATGCCATCTTGGAATCTAGGATTTTGCTGAATCATTCCCCATTACTACATCCTCCCTATATCTGCCATCTTGGTCAGCCTTAGTGGATTTTCTAAATTTAAACTATCATTAATTTCTATTTATTTAAAGCCTAAATCTTACAACTAATTACTGTTTTATGCAAACCAAAGTGTCCGGATACTGTCACCACTCTTTTTACGTCCAATTGAGAGAAATATAATGAAATGAAAATTTAAACCCCTTCCGTGTTTTTACTGCAAACCTCTACTCAGAACATTCAAGGCAAAAATCTCTCACTACAACGTGTCCCTCCAGATTTCTGTCTTCCACTTAGCACAAAACTGGCAAACTTGAAGCTGATGGGAGCCGCCAAGCCTGCTCAGGCCCCTGGCTTTCTGCACTGTGGGAGCTGGGGCACGAGCCAGCTACCCGGCAGTCCTCCTTGCCCTGCTCCCCAAGCTAGGCTGTCTCTGTGCGGCCAGCAGCTCCCCAGGCAGAGCAGGCAGCACAGCTCCTAGCTAAGTCCCTGGCTAGGGTGACCAGATGTCCCAAATTTATAGGAACAGTCCTGATATTTGGGGCTTTGTCTTATATAGGCGCCTATTACCCACCACTTGCTGTCTGGTCACTCTACCCCTGATGTGCTCTTGCCTCTCCCCCATAGCAGCCCGGCACCAGCTGGTGCCACCACTTGGAGCCAGCCTCTGCCCATAGTGCCTGGCTGTCTACAGGGGGCAATGTCAGCAGGTACGCTCTTGGTAGTGGCCTGGCTCAGAGAGCAGGGTAGGGAGGGCTGCCAGGCAGCCAGCCCATGCCCATGCCCATGCTCCCACAGCACAGAGAACCAGGGGCCTAAGTTGCTCCCCCACCTTCCGATCCACTGGCTCCTGGCAGAAGATGACAGTTTTCAAACTGGGGGGCGGACATCCCCCCCAGTTTGAAAACCTCTGTGCTAAATGGAAGGCAGAAATCTGGGGGACATGTGACCCCATTGGCTCCCTCTATGCCACCCCATTTCTTCTGCTCCCAAGTCTTCATGCCCTGGATGACTACCCCGCATGCCCCGCCCTAGTTATGGCCCTGGAATTACCATCTTGAAGAAGTCATTACATCACTATTTACTATGGTGCAGATCCACAAAGGTATTTAGTCTCCTAATTTCCATCTGCTTTTCTATTACAACCACAAGGAAACACTTATCTATGGTTTCTAAAGTTGAAAACTGCCATCTGAAAGACATCTGGTGTCAAGCATAGCAGCTCCCACACAACCTCAAGACCGTTGAAAATGGTGTGGACAGGGTGAACCAGTTGCAGCACAGATTGGCTTCTAGCACACTTTACTACGATGTTGAACCCAACTGACTGTCCAGTAGGACCGCTGTATCCAGCACTGGCTTTGGGGATGGAGGGAGAAGGAGACAATCCTCATTGAACACATGTTTTTCAAGCGTAGGCACAATTAGGGAGGTTCTAATTATTAGGATCATGGGGTTCTAGAATTAAAGAGCTAAAGAGGGTCATCCTTTTCTTTAGCATGGACCTGACACACATACACAGACCTCACAGAGCTTTCCCCATAGTGTAAATGGTAGAGATGAAAATGCTTCATGATCACTGGCCTACCCAGTGCTAAAAATGTTTTAATCTCTGCCCTTCTGTCGGGAAATGTGCGAACTAATTTTTTTTCCCTGTGTTCTGAACTCCATCTGTGCTGCCTGCTCTTTTATTTCAGGGAACCCAGAAAGGAAAAGTTCTCCCTCCTGCTGTCCTCTTCCCCTGCTCATTGGTCCAGTTAACCACAGTGTAGAACAATGGCAGAAACAAGGGTGTCTGACTTTGCCTCCAAGCTGGGTTTGGCACTTTTCCAGGAACGAAGGGCTGCACATTTCCCCCCCATACAAAAGGAGTATGTCACCGTGGTCTTCACTTTTCATATGAGAATAAGACTCTAAAAGACTAAAGGTCTTAGTATGCCACGTTCCATTTTGGTTTGGAGTATCTAGGCTGCCACATTGCTCTTTTGTACCTATAGTTCCTCTTTGTTAAAGACAACACAAGATTAAGGCAGATGTGGGTCCCACTTTGGGTGCACAATGCAGGCAGTTACAAGGATTCTTCCCACAGATGGCTGAAAGGCCAGTCAGAAGGAACTAGCTAGAAGTCCTAGGCCTGCAGCCCTGTGGCACCCAAAGGCACTCTGGCACTCCATTTCCAGAGTGGCACCAGCTGGGACGGGTGATAACAATGCTCTAATAAATATGTTAGTCTCTAAGGTGCCACAAGTACTCCTGTTTTTTTTTTGCTGCTGCTCTGAAAACTACTCTAAGCTGTTCCAAAAAGAGGGAGGCTTTGTGAAAATAATAAGGGAGACTTTTAATGAGAAAAATTCTAGATAGATAAATAGGAGAACAGAATTTCTTTGCACACCAGCCTGAGGCATGCACACCTGCGTACGCACACACCCTGTCCGAGGCATGCACACCTCCAGACACACCCAACCCCAGGCACGCACACCTCGCCTGAGGCATGCACGCCCGCGTAAGGCTCGCACACCCAACCCCAGGCGTGCACCCCCGCCCGAGGCACGCGCACCCGCGTGCACACCCATTCTCAGGCCCGCGCACGCGCCTGCGCCTATCTTCCCCTCAGCTGGAAGCACCTGGCCCCCTGGTAAGCGCCTTGTCGCGCGCGCCGGAGCTCACCTGCACCGGCACCTGGGACCACGCTGCCCTGGGGCGGGTCGCCCGCTCCCTGTGGCTCGGGCCGCTGTCGCTCAGCCGGGATCCGGGCGGCAGCCACAGCTGCAGCAGGAGCTCTCCTTCTGCAGCGGATGCGTGAGGGGAAGGCTGCCCCAGAGAGCCGGAGAGACAAAGCCCGGCGTGGGCGGCTCGGGACTGCCGGTGCCGCGGACTCCCCTACCCCAGAGGTAACGTGCCTGGGGCGCGGTGCAGTGGGGCCAGCCGCCCCAGCTCCACCCCGGCCGCTCGCCCTCCTCCGCCTCTCGCTGCCTTCCCCTGCAGCTGCTCCTCATCCAGCCCCGTCTCGCCGCGCCCCCAGCCCCTCTTCAGGCTCCCTCCACCCCACCCGCCCCTTTGTCCTTGTGACTCCTCTTCGCATCCCTCCCGCTGGGGCTCCGAGCCAGGCAGGTGCCATGGGGCCCTTAGGAGAGTTGAGCCCTGCTGCCGTGCTGGGGAGTGGGGTTAGCTGCAGCGGCTGTTGTGTGCTGGGGGACCCGGAGGCGCTGCCCCGTGAGGGGCTGAAGTGCCTGCGAGGATCCGGCAGCGCGTCCAGTGCTGTCTGGTTCTGGATCCCTTGCAGGGTACTCCGCTGGGCAGCCAAAACCGGTGGGGTAGGGACCCTGGGAAAATGACACCGCCGTTTGCTCGTCCTCACTGCTCTGGGATTGTAGGTGTAGCCGCCGGAGTTACGGGGGGTCGAATCGTGCTCACGTGGAAAATATTTTTTAGCGTGTAGTGATTGAGTGCTGGACTTGAGGGGAAATAATGCACCGAGTTAGCACACCGGAGGTTTCTTTTGGTCTCAGAAGTGCAAGTATGTATGTTTACTTCTTGATAAGATAAAGGGGGAGAGGGGATGGGGAAAATTCCCCTACCTATTCTACATACAAAATGACAGCTTCAGGACAGAAGCCGTGTCCCTCTCACTGAAAACGACATCGAAAATAAAAGCAGTTACATGCCTCTTAAGATCTGAAGAAGAGCTTGGTGTGGCTCCAAAGCTTATGTCCCTCACCAACAGAAGTTGATTTGATAAAACATGTTACCTCACCCCCCTTGTCTCTCTCAAGATCAGTCAATTTTACAGTTTTTAGTGTTACCTCATTTTGTAGATAAAATTACAGCTAAATAATCTGTTTAAACAGTTAATTTTGACTAAAGCCAACTGTTTTAGGAATAACTATCTGGTCATTTTTTATTGCAGATATCAGATGACTAAGGGAATAGCAAGGATACAGGGAGCCTTTAATCTTTAGGTTCCTGCTTCAAAAACAGACACTGACAGTAACTAAACAGGTTCCTGCTGACACCTTTTTTAGTTAATGGGACTTGGTCCACTGTTTAGTGGCTTTGTCTAGATTACAGTTTGCTTTCTTTTTTGCTATACACAAACTAAGGATATAGTGGACATGGTGACTGAACAATCCCATCATTTAGAGAGCGTCACACCAGAACAAGGTTGAGGCTTATGATTAAGGCAGTGGTAAAGCTCATATTATCCATCTTGCAACTAAAGCTTTCCATTTTTCCATATAACAGGTAAAAGTATTATCCAACCATTCTCTTTCATTACACATAAACTGAAGTGACTAGTGCAGTAACAATGTTTACTCTGTTGTTTATGTTTTGCACAATGTTTATAGAAATGTTTTTGCCCTCTTATTGTTACTCATGTATAAATATGAACCTATAAACTGTTTTCTCTACACCTTTTTTGTAGTAGAAAAATTGAAAACTAAGGCACTGATCCTGCAGTGAGCACCCTGCACATAAACCTCCATTGATTTCACCGGGTTCCACATGAATGTCCATATGGCGATTAGGCACGAAATAATTTCAGTTATTTTCTGTGTTCATATTCTCTCACAAATATAAAGTAGCAAAAGCTTATAGGGAGCAAGGTGCATAGGAAAGTAGCTAAGCACAGCCCGGCTGTCATCTTTTTCAGGGGTTTGAGGAGTTTCTGACTTATGCTTGTTTAGAACATCCTACATATGTAGGTACCTAGTCCAAACATGCAGTAATGCTCATTAATGTTGTTGGGAATTATAAATGTCTATTGAATGAAGAGCAACCAGACTCGTTTAGGTGAGTGTCAGAGAATGTTGCTTCTCAGTAGCTCTAGTCTAAACATACATTATTTGCATGACTTTTTCAGTTCTCAGAAGGATGCACCATTCCATCCAGTATGAAGATCACCAAAGTATGAAAGCCCATTCAATACCTCAACATCACATGAAAGTATTTCTAGACTCGTTAAGTAGTCAAGGGCCAGAAGAAGTACAGCAATTTGTGCATTCTCCAATCTCGGTATACCAACAAGGAAATCATTATATATACATGGGCAGCACCGATGTATCAGGGCCTTTGTTAGAGTTGGTGCATCCAGTTACATCTCCTCTCCAACATCCAGCACTAAGCTACTGTGGACCACTGGAGCATCAGCATATTCAAGTGTACCATACACAGCCTCAACAAGGCCATCAAATAGAAATGCAGCAAAATAATTTGATCAAACAAGTACAACTGCAGATAGAGGCTCAGCCCTCCCCTGAAGGGCAATTTAATACACCAACTTCTGAACAGGAAAGAAGACTGTCATGTATTTCTCAACCTATGAAGAAAAGGAAAATTGACATGCCAGTAGAAGACAACTACAGTAATAGTCAAAGTTCTCTGCAGAATATACCAATTACTGTACTAACAATGCCTAGCCATATCCAACAGCAGGCTTACAATTCTCTTCAACAAGAACTGCTAACAGTAGATAGCAATCAACTGTATGGACTTGCACCTGCTACAGGAACAAATGGCCATCTGCCTGATGTAGAATCATGGGCAGTTTGTCCTCATGCAATTTGCCCTGAAACTCAGAATATGATGAATACCCCTGTTTATCGGGATGCCTGTGGTATTATTCAGATTGGTGAAATGGCTATGAATATGACTAGCATTAAGTTAGAAGAAAGCAAGGATAATTTTCAAGCTGTTTCGGAAGCTAGAAAGAGTATTCAGGAGAGTCCTATTCCTAGCACACCCTGTTTCCCAGTGCAATGTGTAAATAAGAATGGAAATACACACCTTCCTCTTGCTGTACAGAGTGGAAAGAGGATGTATCAATCAGCTGAATACTGGGATGAGCAACAGGTGCAGGTGAGCACAAATATGAAGCTCTGTGGTGGGATGTGTGTTTGTGACTTCTCTGGGTCCAATTTGCTTCTCCAAGTTGGGTTTCTTATCACTCGTATTAACTCCTTCTCAGGCAAAGGTGTGTTCAGGTGGGATTATGTATTGAGGCCAAGATAGTCTGAAGCTTTAGCTGCCTTTCATCTGCCTAAAATATACATGCACAAAAACTTCCTGAAGAGTTTAACAAGTGTATAAATCATAACTGTACAGGCTTCAGAGATACAATATTAAACATTGCAAAATTAGCTTTTCCTGTTTTGTCATTGCATAACGTACTCTAATAATCAAACTTCCCTATTTAATAGGATATTACCATGTTAAAAGACAAAACATTACACCACCAGGGCATATTTGTCCCAAAATTTGAAATGTACCCATGTAGATTCCCCCCCCCCTTCTACCTTATAACAAATTTAGGCAAAGTGTTCCAGGTGGATGGTCTTGTATCTGCATGCAGCTCCACGGCCCTATGCTCATATTGAACCTCAGTTGCACTGCACAGGTCTCAATAAGGGCAGACCAAGGTGTGGGTGTGTTTTTTGTTTTTGAGAAACTAGGGATCCTTGTCAAAACTGTGGCTTTGGGACTATGTCTAATAAAACTGTGATTCTACAATGTATAAATAGTAGAAAAAGATTTCTCATTCAGGCAACTGCCCCTACTTCTGAGTATTAGACCAAATAATTCTCTATTAACTTAGTTCTGGTATGAACCATACTGAAAAGCAGTAATTACAGTACATATTCTATATTGCAAAGTAACTTGGCCAAAACCAGTGTGTCCTTTAATTAAAAATCTTGTTTGACTATAGATACGTTGTAAGGAGCAAGCTTGTCTTAATTTTCTTGGCAAAATTAGCACAATATTTGTTTACAAACCTTAATTTAGCTGACTGCATGAACAACACTAATCAACCCTACTTGTTTTAAACTTGGTCTTCTCCCTCCCTTAAAATGTAGCTGAATGTAAACCTAAAATTGTGGGATTATGGTAGCATTGTTTTGGGACAGAAATGGACAAGGGCTGTAATAGTAGTAGTTTATAGTCCTAATTTTGTTGTTGTTGCACCCAAAAGTTTTGAAAAAGTTATAAATAAATAAGGGGATTCCAGAGGGATACACCAGTGTAGCAATGAAATGACCTAGGCACAATGGTAATACTCATATTAAAGAATGTAAATATTATTAAAAGAAGAGGTCTGTGTTTCTCTTTCAAACTAAATCTTAAGAACTGAGTAACCTGATCACTTTTTTTTTTTAAAGCCATACATCAGTATAGAGAAGGTTAAAAAACTTCTACTTGACAGATTTGGAGGTTACCCTAGAGAATTACTCTTTCCTCATTCTAGAAGCAAAAGCCTGGTTGAATAGAATGAGTGATCCGCGTTGTTCTTCTTTTAGATCAGATATTGGTCTCAGTGACAACCACATGATCGTTTATCATGTGGAGGTCTTGCCAGTTAGGACTTTTCTGTTTCCTTTTTGTCAATCCATCTCTAATCCAAGATGTGATATTTTTATTTAATTGATATTTATTAGGGCAGTCAAGCGATTAAAAAAATTAATTGTGATTAATCGTGCAATTAAAAATTAATAGAATACTATTTATATAAACATTTTGGATGTTTTTTACATTTTCAAATATTGATTTCAATTACAACACAGAATACAAAGTGTACAGTGCTCACTTTATAATAAAAATATTTACATTGTAAAAATAAAAGATAGTATTTTTCACTTAATACATAATGTATTCACTTAATACAAGAACTGCAGTTAAATCTCTTTATCACGAAAGTTGAACTTACAAATGTAGAATTATGTACAAAAAAACCCTGCATTTAAAAATAAAACAATGTAAAACTTTAGAGCCTACAAATCCACTCAGTCCTCCTTCTTTCTCAGCCAATCGCTCAGACAAACAAGTTTGTTTACATCTGCAGGAGATAATGTTGTCCACTTCTTGTTTACAATGTCACCTGAAAGTGAGAACAGGCATTCGCGTGACACTGTTGTAGCTGGCGTTGCAAGATATTTATGTGCCAGATGCACTAAAGATGCTTCAACCACCATTCCAGAGGACATGCGTCCATGCTGGTGATGGGTTCTGCTTGATAACAATCCAAAGCAGTGCACACCAACACATGTTCATTTTCATCATCTGAGTCAGATGCCACATGCAGAAGGCTGATTTTCTTTTTTGGTGGTTCAGGTTCTGTAGTTTCTGCATGGGAGTGTTGCTCTTTTAAAACTCCTGAAAGCATGCTCCACACCCCGGGCTGATCAGATTCTTAGAAGGCACTTCAGATTCTTAAATCTTGGGCTGAGTGCTATCTTTAGAAATCTCACATTGGTACTTTCTTTGCATTTTGTCAAATCTACAGTGAAAGTGTTCTTAAAACGAACAACATGCTGGATCATCATCCGAGACTGCTATAATATGAAATCTATGGCAGAATGTGGGTAAAACACAGAGCAGGACACATACAATTCTCCCCCAAGGAATTCAGTCACAAATTTAATTAATGCATTTTTTTTTTTTTAACAAGCAACATCAGCATGGAAACATGTCCTCTGGAATGGTAGGCCAAAGGGAAGGGACATATGGACGTATGGAAGGGACATACGAATGTTTAGCATATCTGGCATGTAAGTACCTTGCAATGCCAGCTACAAAGGTGCTATGCGAAAGTCTGTTCTCACTTTCAGGTGACATTGGAAATAAGAAGTGGGCAGCATTATCTCCCGTAAATGTACACAAACTTGTTTGTCTAAGTGATTGACTGAGCAAGAAGTAGGACTGAGTGGACTTGTAGGCTCTAAAGTTTTACATTGTTCTGTTTTTGAGTGCAGTTATGTAACAAACAAATCTACGTTTTTTGCACTTTCACGATGAAGAGATTGCGCTATGGTACTTGTATGAGGTGAACTGAAAAATACTATTTTATCAATTTTACAGTGCAAATATTTGTCATAAAAATAATATAAAGTGAGTACTGTACACTTTGTGTTGTGTTGTAATTGAAATCAATATATTTGAAAATGTAGAAAAACATCCAAAATATTTAATTTCAATTGGTATTCTATTTAACAGTGTGATTAAAACTGCGATTAATCACAATTAATTTTTTTTGAGTTAATCGCGTGAGTTAACTGCGATTAATCGGCAGCCCTATTATTTATCCATTTACTTTATCATGATACAGTTTTTTTTAAATGATTTGGTGAAATGCAAGTATACGTACCACCCTTTTTCTATTACTTAGTAAGTCTGTTATATTTTACACAACTATATTAACAAACTTATTCTAGTGGTCATTAAACATTATTCTTCTAAACATTCATATCCTGACATACTCAATAATTTTTGGCTGTGATAAATATCAATATGACAGGCTAGTAGTACCCAGCTTTTTCTTCCCACTCTTCTTACAGATACCATGTTTTCCCTCTTTCTAACTGAGTATTTATGGCTTCCATTAAGTATATGCTGTAAATATGTATTAAAAATAGTATATGCACAAAGACTAAGGGGGAGATTTGCAAAGGCACAAAGTGTAGTTTGATGCCCAGCCCCCATTGAGATTTAGTGAGAGTTGTGCACCTTGTTTCTATTTGTGTATCTGAAAATCTTTCCCCGCCCCATGTTCTCAAACTAATACTGAATTTATTTGAATAAGCATTAACTTGCATCAACACAGCTTGCTTATGCTAAGTATGAATACATACTGAATATACAGTATTAACTTAACTCTTCCTCCAACAACTAGAGAAATATTTTTGGGGGGGAGGGGAGATGGAACTTTCCCCACCTAGCAAGGAGGCTTCAGAACAACTTCCCTATCCCTTATATGTGGGTTGGTCTAGCATCTACTGTAACCTCAGACAACTTGTGTGGGATTGGATCTGCAAATTGGGCAGCCTGCCATGAACAGCCTATTCCTCGATGAGCAGCCATGGGAGGAACTCGTTACTCCTTGTTGTGTAGGCTGCACAATGGGGTTTATGATATATAGAGGGGGTCTTGCATTACCCCCAGTCCATGTATGTCATTAAGACTATACTGGGTGTGAAGGAACCTTGGACTCCCATGTTGGAATCTGTTGAATCTCCCTCAGCCCAGGATACTGTAAACACTTGAAATATTAGCTGTAAATATTTTTCATATTATATAAACACTTGTGCATAGAGATTTTTTTTTTAGAGTATGTGACTCTTGGACTGATTATTTTTTCCACTGTTTAGATCCAACACTGCAGTCCTCCTAAAAAAATAATGCAAGGATTAAATAACCTCATTCACTAGGTATGGTACAAAATAGAAACCTGGGCCTGTTTATATGGTGCAAAGTTGATGCAGGGAGAGAAGACAGAGTGAGTGTGTGTGTGTGCGCATTGCCTCCTCTTCCTAGGAGTGTACCTCCTGAGCAATAGGGAAAAATTAATTCGTTGTGTTTATAACTTAAATCTTAATGTACAAGTACAAAACATAACGATTGGTAGAAAATACATAGATTTAAACCAGTGCTGTATCCCTCACAGCAGTCAGGCTCTGTCTGCTGCCACCTTCCTTACCCTATGAATCATTTGTTACATTCCTTTACCAAGTACTTGTCTTGGGGCAGAAACTTCCCATAAGGCCTCATTTTGTTCTAGGCAAGAGGTAAAAAGTAACCAACATATATGGCAAAAAATAAATTGCAATTGTGATCTATTTCAGTTTATGTATTTGAATGTTTACAAAAAAAAATTTCCTTACGCTTAAAAAAAGTCTTAACCCAACAATGCCTCATTAAAGGAAGCCAAGACCAAACAAAAAAGGAGACAAGTGAATCTGAATTATTCGATATTGCATCTTTACAAATTTATTAGTGGAACTAATAAAGTTTCCTTAATAGGGCCTTGTTTTATCTTCCAGGTGATCACTGTAGCTACTGAAACAACTATTTTGAGATTCATCTGCACA